ACGCAGAGTAATAAAACATTGCATCAAATGTCTAAAAAAAACTTTGTGTTTATAATAACGCCCCAGGTTCTGACACAAATTTTAAATTTCTTCATCTAGAGTCCTGGTTCTTAAAATGCGGCTGTCGGGCCAAATTTTGCATAGAAGATGAACATTTGCACGAGGTTTGGACGCAATCCACTGAGATCTTTAAAAAAAATAACCCGACTATTAGTATTGTAAGTTCTAGATATACCTGAAAAAGTCAGGGAAGATTTGATGATTGAGTAGACTCAAAATCGAAGAGTTTTTAGGTTTTAATTCAAAGAAAATAGCACTATGGCACTTGCCACCTAATTTTCGCCTCGGATTTTTTCCACTAGAGGATTTTTTTCCACCCAGCTATTTTTTCAGGCTATTTATTGAGGCTGTTTTCCAGCTGCTATCCCCCACCCCCGGCTATTTTGTCCCAGTATTTTCCGTTGTATTTTTCCTCCTAGTTTTCCCACTGAATGTTTTCATCAGTTTAGCTTCTGTGTAAGGCGAAACACATTATTTGTTTATGATTTGTTTTTGTTTTGTAAGGTTACACCATAAATGTGTGCCGATGATGAAAAGCCTTCAATTAACTGATTGACTCTTGATGCATTCGAGATACTAATGAAGCCTAAACACTCATTGTAGAAACGTGATTTTAAAAAAGTTTGCTTCTGTGTTCACACAAAAAAAGGAAGTCTCTTTCATTGAGTAGGCCTACTCTTTTGGACTATAAATAGCACACCTATTTCCTGGTCGGTCTATATATCCTACCGTACTTATGTTTTACTGCATCAGCTAATAACAATCTGGCAGAGTGGAAATATTATTTCCAACATTAAAAATGTCTGGTAGTGGCCATTATTGTACTATGCTGAACATTTTCCAGTAGGTTTTATTGGGTTAACTCACAAGCTGATCTAGGTCAATTTTTGGTGCGGGGTATAAGAGGGTGTCTGGTGGGACACCCCTCCATTAAAGATGTCTGGCGGTGGCCATTCCTGATACCTGCCGAACATTTTCCAGTAGGTTTGGTCGGGTTAATTCAGAAGCTGATCTAGCTTGATTTTTGGGTACCCGTTTTTCGTGTCTGGCAGCCACCCCCCACCAGTGGAAATGTCTGGAATTGATCATTCATGGTATCTTTAACTATGCCGAATATATTCTGATAGGTTTCATTGGGTTAATTCACAAGTTCATCTAGCTCAATGACCACACCTACCACAATGGGATCGGCAGATGCCAATTTTCCTACATTGACAGGCACATAGACTATTACTATACACACGAACATTGGTTAACTTTCCAGCTATGCTGACACCACTGGGCTCCTGAATTCCTTTTCTTCGTGGTTTAATGCAGCTGGCCGTTGTTCATTTGTTTACTGTGGCCTGCTGTGACTAAGCCGGTCTTTCACGAATCAATGACACCACTCATGCACTAAATCTGAATTCATAAACCTTAATCATATCACACTGAATAACAATAGGCAGCTCCATTGGTAATTGTTAGGTTGAGGTCAAATGCAATTTAAGCAGCACTTTTATTTTTGGAATTGGAAAAATTTTATCTTGATGAAAAATACCTACAGTTAAGTAGGCTTACCGATTGCGGGCAGAGCAGTGGCGGCTGATAAATTGTCTGGGGGGGGGGGGGGGGGGCTAAGCACATCTAGATGTGGATAAGAGACAGGGCCTGAGGAGGTGGCTTAGTGTAGGCCTATTTTTTGTTTCGTCCGACTGCAGGACGAGCTCGGCCGGTGGGGTGGGGAGGATTGACGTGTCCGATGGGGGATTAATCCCCTTCCCAGTTCCCAGCCACTGCGGGCAGTGAACTTTTACGATCGGTGTTGTATCAGACTGGTTCATGCATTAAATCAGTGGTGTAAATTTAATACTCCAATATGACTATCTCTGATAGGGGTACCTTTTACGCAAAGAACTGTTTGTCATTGTGAATTGACATAAGCATTTTATTTTGAAATAAATTCATTTGGATCCAAATATAATTTGTATGAAATTTTTCATTAGTGTTGATCCAGCAAAATAAAAACCAATAGTACTCGCACTACGTTTCGCGAACGATCCGTTCGCTTTTTCAAGTAGACTGGTGATGTTATTTCCAGTCTGGTCTGACGTCACCTCGGTGTTGTTGAGGTCGAAGTGCATCGATGCGTCGTCGAAATAACATCACCAGTCTACTTGAAAAAGCGAACGGATCGTTCGCGAAACGTAGTGCGAGTACTATTGGTTTTTATTTTGCTGGATCAACACTAATGAAAAATTTCATACAAAATAAGCATTTTAGATCTTTGCTCAATGAAATCAGTGGCGGAAATTAAAATAGTGGGCAAGGCCGGATCTGGGTTGGAATTTAAAGGGGTAAAAATGTTTCCAAAAAAACCCCAAAAAGAAATAGGGGTCCGGGGAATTTTGATTCCCAGATGGCGGGAAATGAGCTTTCCCGACTCCTGAAGTGTCTTTCGATAACTTTTCAAGGGTCTTCTAAATTCAAAGTTTTCCCCTCTTAAAAACAGTGAAGTAATTTTTTCTCATTCTTATTACAGTCAATATGCCTATCATGTGTACCGGTCCATACATACAGAAGAAAAAATTGAGTAGTTGCATACGTATTATTTTTTTTCCATGAATGATGAACCCCAAAAAGAAAGGGGGGTCTTGGTCCTCTCCCGGGACAATTTGTATTCCTAGATGGCGTCAAATGAGCTTTCCCGACTTCTGAGGTGTCTTTTAATGACTTCTAAGTTCTTCAAAATTCAAGGTTTCCCCTCTTGAAAACGGTCAGGTAAACTTTCTCATTCGTATTACTGTAAATAGACCTATTATGTGTGTATATACATTAAACAATTGAGTAGTTTCATACGTATTCTTTTTCCTTGAATCAATGAACCCCAAAGAGAACGGGGGTTGGGGTCGGAAAAATTTTAATTCCTAGATGGAGGGAAACGAGCTTTCCCCATTTCTAAGGTGTCATTTATGTTCTTCAAAATTCGAAGTTTCCCCCTCTTGAAAACGATTAAATGAATCGATGAACCCCTAAGAGAAAGAGGGAGGGGGGTCCGGAATCTCCCAGGAAAAATTCTGATTCCTAGATGGCGGGAAATTAGCTTTCCCGACTTCTAAAGTGTCTTTTAATGACTTTTAAGTTCTTCAAAGTTTTCCCCTCTTGAAAACGGTCAGGTAAATTTTTCTCACTCTTATAACATAACAGTAAACAAGCCTATTAATGTGTGTACCGTTATAGAAAATAATGGGTAGTTACATAAGTAGGCCTATTCTTTGAATATTCAAAGAACCCCAAAGAGTACGGGGGGGGGGGGGAATTTTGATTCCGGCATTTAACTTTCCTATTGTAACAAAAACAATTCTGCTTAGGTCCTGAAAAAGTAGGTCTAGAATTTTTTTTTTTTTTTTTGCCCAAGGAGGTAAGGACCTCCTGAACCCCACTTCAGATCCGCCAATGGAGGGGACCCAGGGAGGAACTGAAATTTCATAGCTTCTTCGCTTCAGATCCTCATTTACGCTCTCCACGCTAGACACCTGAGATGCCCGTGCTAAGATTAAGCATCGTCTGGCCTCAAGGCACATTTTGGAAATGGCCCAAAAATGTTAATTGAATGGACCCCATGGTAATAATTACGAAATGTAAAAACCCCAGCTACCGTGATTACTTATTCAATGGTAACTGGTCTACACCGTCTATTTGCTCTCTCCAATGTTGGTAGCATACAGCCTTATGAAACACAGGCAACAAAACTGTTGGAAAAAATACTTATCGTGATGGGCGCCTGTGGTTATAACAGCGTGACCACTCACAATTTTTGATATACCCAATGACTGGGTCGAAATTACCCAAGATTCAGCCAAAATTGCCCAAAATTACCCAAGCTTCCTGAAAATTCATTAAAATTTGAAAAAAAAGGTGTTTTTCGCATGTATAGTTTCCCTTTTAGTTCAATTTATAAACCATTTTTTATTGTAATTGTTTGTGTTAACAAAGAGTATTATATACTCTTTGGTGTTAATTATTAAAATTAATATTCATGAGGTGATAATGCAGATAGAAAAATACGCCCTCAGTCGGCCAGTGTTATCAGTAGATCAGTGATGAAGTTTTTATTATGTAATGCATTAATTAGGTAAGATCAATGGCAACGCAAGTCACAAATAAACAATTCTGAACCCATGTTTATAGCAATTAACAGTCAATTAACAATGTTATGTGCACTTCGTTGAGTTTTGCTTACTTGAATGGACTGACATAGGCTACTTTGTTACTTCTTAATTCTTCCTCTATGACAAAAATTTTTTATTTTCTTAGTAAAAATAAAATACCCAAGGATTTGAACGGAATACCCAAGAACCCCAGACCAAGTCAAAATACCCAAGATCTTGGGTAAATACCCAAGCAGTGGTCACACTGGGTTATAACACTATCAGGTTATCCATAACAAACCTTACCTTTGCCCTTAGTATCAGAGCTGAACCTTCCGCGCTTTCACGACGGCGAACTCTTCAATCACAGTACTGAAGTCTAGTTCTCGAAGTACAATATATCACTTTCATGCATAAAAGGGCCAACGAACCAAGTCGCCCTTGATGCATGGTAGAACGCTTCACATCTTTCATTCGCTTCAGCTGGGAAAATGAGCGTTCGCCCGAACAGTTGCTGGCCATCAGTGATAGGTACATTCGGAGAGCTAATTCAGTATTTGTATGTAACAACATAAACATATGTTGGGCACAGCCGGTTGAAAGGGAAGCCGGGTCAAGTTGCCGTTGGCTTTTATACCAGCACATGAACTGACGAAACTCTGAAGTAAAGTCAGGGTTCAAATCTTTGTCATACAGACTGACAAGTGCTTTAATTGCAATGTCAGTCATAGTGTCAAACTCGGTAAGAACTCCAAACCGCTGCAGTACTGTCGAGTAAGCCTCTATACGCTTCTGCAGCGCACTTCGAAGTTAATAGATAATAACATAGAATGTATTAACTTTGAATTTTTGTTTGCCTGTCATCATATCTGTGGCATCGGTAGTATTTCCATCATCGACACGCTTTTTACGCTTCAGTACCCTCCGAATATCTGATCTGTAAGTGCTGTTCCCGACACGCTCAGCTGCTCGCTGCTCATATAAATCGAATGTTTCTCTGCGCTCATCAAGGAACTCAATCAAACTCTTCAATAGACCGATAGCCGGGGTTAATTCTATGGTGGCATTTTGCAACATTTTGCTGCAACAGTCAAAGCGTTTCAAAATATCATTCCACAGTTCACACATAATGGCAACTTCTATGGTATCCATCTTTTCCGCCAAAGAGTTCGCATCATTTCTGGTGTCCCCATTCTGACTGCTATCTGCTGAGATCTCTTCGAGAGCACTTTGGAAGTGGGTATAGCCACGAAACAAAGCTTCGGTAGCATCAGCTCGAGCAGACCATCGTGTGTCTGATGGGTGTTTGGGTACGAGACAGCCAGGCTCCTGTTTCACATGTGCCTGCATGACTTCCCATCGGTGCGTTGACGCAGAAAAAAGAAAAACGCGTGCAAGATCGGCTTTCAGCTAGGTGTTTTTATGGGAGAATCCTGCTAGATCAAATGTCCGCTAGATAGGTTAAAATAATAGTATGTGCTGCAGGAAAACGTTTAGTATAAATCAGAACATCCGATCTTTCGTGTCGGAGAGAAGCGTTACTCTGCCACAACTCTAACAGTAGAATGTCTCCGAGTTTTCTGGCCTAATAATACCGGAAAATAGAGTGTAAATAATATAGCAGTCCAACTTTTCATGGCCCATCATTTTCGCCTGGCCCACAAGGCTAATGGTTAATCCGGCACTGGCTAAGATAGTCATAAGATAAACACGGGCCACATCTTAATAGCCGTAATAGGAAATAACTATTTTGGTTAGGAGTATAGTATATAGTATTCCGGTGAGCGCTAGACAACTCGATGCCTTTTGATGATTTAATAATCATAATAATAATATCGATGGAAACTGGATAAAGGGGCAGGCTTATTATTATTCATACAGTTTACTATTCACGTTGCCAAACAACTGTCTCGTATTACGGCCATCCACTCATAAGGCACACATCATATTTTCCATAATTTGAATTAGTACAGACTATTGTACATAATTAATCAAGAGATTATATTATGACGAAGTAATTGAAGTGGTTGAAAAACATAAGTAGGCCTACCGTGGACAATAAACTAAAATCAGACGAAAATACAAATGATCTATTCGTAGACTGAAATAAACGTATGTACTTTCTGTATCGCATGAAAAGTTTAATGTTAAATGAAAACTCATGTATCAGTTATTCAGTCATTATTGCGCTATGTTATCTTGTCGGTCACGACGAATTATATGCCTACAATGGTCACAAAGAAAATTACTATATAAGTGATACGGTAATAACAGTGGAGTAAACATTGCATACTGGTAACTGTATTTACCTAACTAAATTCAGCTTATTGGTAAATTTCAGTAAAATGTGGATTTAGCTATAAACGTACAATACTAGAGGAGGGATAAACCAAATTATAGTAATGTAAATTCCAAGTTTTGTTTTAACCTGTAACTTGTGTTTTTGCAAAAAAACAAAAAAACAAAAAACAAAAACAAAAACAACATCACGTTGAACGAATTGGATAACATCAAATCATCATAATAAATAAAAGAATGGGATCATAATTCTATTCATAAATAATACAATTATAATACCGATCGGAATTATCAGTATACAATATAGGCCTAAATGGAGGAAATTTGCATAATTATACAACGCATAGAAAAAATGAAAGCATACTGGCATTACATTCAAAGCTATATTATATGCAAAAGCAGCATCTCATCTATTATAGCCAGAAGTTGTTTCGAATCCGCCTGGCTCTGTTGCCTGTGACACCACACTTGTCTCTGCATCGGAATCTACCCTGGTGTGTAACCAGGTACAGAAGTGTCTGAAGTATCCGCGGACGACGCAGTTGGCATGTTTAATGCGGTAAGTCCAGGCTATATATTTTTTTAATGATGACAGGTATATTCCAGTATCGTCATCTTGCGTTTCATGGTTCATTACACGTCCCGACGTGCATTTTCAGCACTCCCCTATCGTGAAGATCAAGTAGAAGTTTAAACTCTTCCGCGAAGTGATGCACCTTAGGTAAAGGCACAAATCCCTGCCCATAGTAATGGTAGTCTACTGTTTTGTTGTTGTGGTCGTAATGAAACGGCCAGAACCCAAAGAGATTTATCTCGTTACACAACGTTATAGCAACACTGACCATATATAACCCTGAGAAAAAAATATTATAAATGCTCAATTAATATATTAATACAATATATATATATATATATATATATATATATCATGTAGACAATGCCTTGTCATAATTACATGCCTTTTTGTCATAATTTTTTGTTTCAACGACTAATATATAATTTGAAGAACACACGTGGATTTACAATGAAATACTAATGAATCCTAAAGACTCATTGTAGAAACGTGATTTTAATATATAGGCCTATATTTCGTTGCTACTATAATGGTCTATAAACATGTTTTTTTGCGCATGAGCGGTTCATCGATCGCGTTCACCTACCGACGCGTATGGTCACGTACCTGAAGATATTCTCTCAGCTGTTATTCCACTAGATTTCCAAAATTTACTGGAGGCAAGGAAATGATCCGGGTGCATAAACAACGGCTTAACTGGATAACTGCTTATATTTTTAATTGTTTTTGCTACGTTCACGCTGATATCAAAACCAATTGGAGTTGAGAATACAGGAATATAAAGATACGTTTTGAATTCTCTCATTTTACTCAGAAAACTGTCCTTATCTGTTTTTCGTATTAGATAAAAGTATCTAAAAAGAAGAGAAAGAAAAATCATAAATAATATTTGTCTAATACCGTAAAACCTCGAATAGAAGCCCGGGGATTCTGTTGTTTTAGGACACTTGGATGGGCTTCTTTTCGAGATTGGCTATTTTTCGACACTACTTTTACAAACAAATTCAAATTGAATGCTGTAAATTTTGAAATTTCTACTATTTTTCAACTATGAAATTCAAAATTCGGAGTAATATTTTTTAAATTGTTAATGGTGGTTGGCATATGTGACAAATATGTATGTCGACGGTGTCCATACGGGCATGAGTGACAAATGTGTGTCATGTGCTCATGTATATGGGAATAATAATGTCACATTACACTTATGGGCATATAACATTTATTTGTGACATAAATTAATTTGGAGAGAGCTATGTCAGGTGTTTCCAAATTTTCGAACTTTAGAAATTCGAATAAATCGCGCATTCTGAGTGGTTCTATTTGAGGGGTTATCTGACATGCTACCTTGAAATAAATATGTGACAAAATATCAAATTTAAACAGACATAATTAACTAATGTTCAGAAGCCTATATTTTTTTGATAAAGAACAGTCACACAAAAATAAATTAATCGCCCGAAACACATAACTGACAGTCTGGTCAATTGGTATTGATGCCTGCTCCGAAAAGGCCTTTTCACAACCTACTTTTTTGATACTATGGATGGGTTCATAGTCGTTAAATTTGCCTTAAGGCCGACATCCGTTGAAAAATTCTGTAAAGGTGGCGCATTCATTCTGAAATAAAATTACACAACTCTGATAAAATATATTTGATATTTGCTGAACTTTCAATTTACTATTAATATATGCATGTCGCAGATGGTAACATAAACGAGGGGTCTTTATAATGTACTCGTTGGTCACTATGGGCATCCGGAAAAATAGTAAAAGTAAAACTCCATATATTACTTGTGCACTATCCCACTTGAACGGTTCATCGATTACTCCATACATTCTCAATCAACCCTACGAGTTTCACTAATTTGTAACACAAATTTTCATGGGACAATTCAAATGAACAAATGTTGGCATTAGGGACATTGAAATACGAAGAGCATCTGTTGTGAATGCGATCGATATTGCGATATTAAGTACCAACATGGTTCTCTATGACAGCCATTTTAACAGTGCATACTATTATTCATAATTATATTTATAATTTTCCAAAAATTATACACGGAAAGAAGAATCCTAGAGTGCAAATGTATGTGTATCGTTGCAAAGGGCGTTCAACCGGACGCCATTTTCTTCACTGACAAACCATTAATCCCAATTTCTAACGTAATTTTTAAGATGTTGTACTAAGTACTTTTTCTTTGTAAATTTTAATTGAGGATTAAATTGTGTTCGATAACTAATATAGTGCGAGCTTTTGTGTTTTTAGTACATTTTGATGGTAATAATATTAGATTATAAAATGCACATTAAAACACTTTGGTATGCTAAAAAATGTTTAGATCTAATTTCCAATTGTGGAAATGTATAATAAGTAAAACTATTAAACGAGTTGCAAATATCATCAGCAGAGTGCTCAATGGAAATTAAACCAGAGCGAATTAAAAGATAAATAAGAGGCTCAACAGTAGGTTTGATTAGACATTTTATTATATATACACAGTATATATATATACATATATAAATATGCATATATACATATACATATATATGCATATACATATATACATATAAACATATACATATATACATATATATATATTATATATATATTATATATATATATATATCGTGTATAAACAAGC